TTACAAAGAGTTCTAACCAGGGTCCAGACTGTGGTAGTTGTCTTTATTTGTGGCGATTGTTCCTTTTTGTTTGGTGCTTGAGATTTTCCTGTCTAGTCTTTCAGACTCTGATCCGTGAGAAACTTGCATGCAAATGCTGTTGCCCTTTTGGTGCTTTTTTGTAAAGAAGCACAATCCTTTTAGTGTTACATTGGCTTTTGTAGTGCCAGATTGTGAACCTCTTACTCTCAGTGGTGTGCATTTACTCTCACTAGCAGCTCCGTTGAAAGCAATGGGGCTATTCAGGGGAGTAACTGCTTAGTCATATGAATAAGGTGTTCTCAATCTGGCCCTTAATAGCTAGAGATGAACCTGAGCCACATGTATCTGAATATTGATCCAAGCGACTCCTAAATCCAGCAACGTTATTTTCTGTGGCTCTAGCTTGGGCTTATGTCCATTAAAAATCACTGTTCCCAAGCATAACAAATCAGTACAGAAAGGCAATGTGTGGAAGCCGCAGACTTTTCATTGTGTTGGGACCACTGAACATTCTGCATTTTAAATGGAATTCCCCCTTCTAATCTCAGCAGCTTCCTTTCCTGACATGTAAGTGTCTCGTTTCACTGGATGGCAGTAGTAAGAGGGAAATGTTTTGAGATAAAGAGCTCTGTGTCTGTGGAAGCTGTGTCTGTCTGTGCTTGCTGAATTCTAATTCCCAAAGAGATCCTGTTTTGAGGTTTAATGGGGGGCGGGGGGAAGAAGGGGGATCAAAGCCAGAATGGGAATGGCTTTCTCAGTCAGTGAGGTATTATCCTCTCACTTCTGAGAGGTGGATTTGAAGGTTCAGTGTGGTCTGAAATCAGCCCAACTTGATGCTAGCAGCTTAGTTCCTAGAGAATGGCACTCTATGCCATTGAAGCATTATGCATAATTAACTATAATTAGCCTGAGTGGTGAGGAAAAGTACAGAGCCAAATGAATATGGAGGCTGAAACAGCTTTCACTCTAAGGAAAACATGAGTGTATTAGTTAACCTTCCGGCCAGTTGTCCATTTTAGCAGCCAAATGAATGGAGAAAAGGAGTGTGGCCTGACAGAACCTGTGCACCGCATTTAGCTCTTCAAAGGACTTAGAGCTCTGTCCTCGTTTACTCAGACCAATGATGAAAAATATAGGCTGAGATTTTCAAAGGCAGTTGGGTACCCGCTACCACTGAAATTCAATGGAAGGGGGCACCATAATCCATTACCAAAACCTTCCTAAGATTATCTGTCTTGTACCCCTCTAAATTAATTTCTCCCTTCCCATCATTTCTGAAAACCAAGATATTTGTGTCTTAATTGATGGCCTCTCTTTTAATACCATCCTGCTCCTTGCCTGAATCCTGCCCTGATATTGGGTCACGTTACTGCTGATTACTGAAGTATTTTCTGAGTAGGTAGCAGTATTCCCCCTAATAAGTCAGAAGTGCTCTCTATTTTTCTGCCTGAGTCCAGTGAGGTTGCACTGCAGTATGTTTAAGGTCACCAATGTTTCCATTAGACTAATTTTTATAGTGGTGTAATCCTGGGGCAGTAACACCCAGGAAAGAACCATGCAGATAGAAACAGCTTCTTTTTCTTTGACAAAGTACCTCGGGAGCCCCTCGATTGTTTCCCCTCTTTATGGTACAGAGGACAGCAAAGCTGCTGTGGGACTGCACTGAGGGAAATCTGGCTGTGAAGGATGCTTCTCCATACCCTAATGATCTGCGCAGCCTTTCCCATCCCCTTCACAGGAAATCTCTATGGCTGACAGGCTGTGTGGAGAAGGTGAGAATGGCTTGATGGGAGAGGAACAGACAGGGAACACCCAGTGTCCCCTCCTACATAGGCTAGAGTCCATATAATAACTGTGGTTAATGCTGCTTGGAGCGGCTTTAATTTTCCCCTGCTGTGTTCTGGAACCACTGTGGTAGGGATTGAAGAGCTACGTCAGTGGCAGTACTACATGACATCTGCTGTGCTGTCATTGCTAAGAGACTTGGTTCTAGAAGGGGACTGGAGGGACCTAAAGCTACCTTGTGTCCATCCAGGGATTTGAGAGCAATCTCAGCCTTAACTCTTTTTACCTCCACCCCCTGCTTGTTTACTTGCCAGTTCCATGGCATAGAGGAGAGAAGGCAGCCCACATCATAAGCAGCCTAGCTTTTGGAATGTTTTATTCCTCTCTGTGCATTCTTCTGCCAAAAAGAAACACATGGCCCTAAGTGATCAGCCAGTGACATGAATGGAAATAAAGAAATGTAAAAGCAGTTAAGTGGAACCTTCCTATAATAAGATACACTCCTAGAACTGCTGGAGCTTTCTCATTAATCTGAATCCAAGAATGACGTTTCACTTCAGGAAATGGATTTACTTAGATTTATTTAAAAAAAAAATGCTAGAAGCAGCATTTATCTGTATGTGCTAGGCACACCTGGGTTAACTTTAAAGTGCATCTTAAGTGTTTTAAATTTAAGATGACCCACCACAAATCTCCCTCCACCCTTACCATTACAGTTCTCCCCATAAACAAAGCAAATGCTGCATTGGTCCTGATTCAAATCTCATTAAAATCAATGGAAAAACTTAGATGGGTTTTGGATCAGGTACCATATGAATTAGACAGGATATAAGGATTTACATTCCTGTGCTGCTTAGATAAATAGTTTCAGAATGTAGAGTGGTCTAGTGTATATACTACTCCAGGCAGAAACTCCAACAGCAATAATAATCCTCTCCCTGTTTTCATTTTAAATGACAATGCTTAACTGCCACCAGCAAATTGAAAAAGATGAGGTCCTTCTTTCTTTAGAGACTTTTGGATGCTTCTGTTGGCCAGAAACTTCTGACCATAATATTGTACCGCTCATATCTAACCAGTGAATAATTAGAACATTAGAATACTGCTTGTGTAATTGCTTTCCATTAACTTTCTGTCTTCCTTCATTAAGAATGTCACCTCTTCAGTTTTTGGACTAATTACTGCATTGTCTTTGTGGCACAAAAATGTTTTACTCTGTCTAATTTGAAGTTTCAACCTCTTGAGAATGGAGTTTGAGGTTATATAACTTTCAGAAACTTTTGAGTTGTCTTAGAATAAAAGAAAAACGTTACTTGTCGCCTACCAATGACTATATTGCCCTGAGGTCAGATAACTTAATTCCATTATAATCTTTCTTCTGAGTGGTAGAAAATGTGGCCTTTTAGCTCTTCCTTCCTACCTTCATTATTATTATTTATTATTATTTACTATTATTTTATTTATTTGATTTATAGTTGATCCTAGAGACTTCTACTGAGATCAGGGTTCCTTTGTTCTAAAGCATCCTTACAAACACATCAGCCCCTGAGACAGAAAGCTTGCAATCTAAATAGGCAGACAAAAGGTGGGAGGGGAAACAGAGCAGTGAAGTGACTTGACTCTAGTCATGAAGCAAGTTAGTGGCAGAGTTGGGAATAAATGTTATGTTCTTATGTCTTTTGATTCCCATTCCAATACCCTGTCCAGTGGACCACTCAGCCCTGTTTGAAAGGGTCTCCATTTTGTGCGCACTAAACCTAATTACACAGTTGCCTCATGCTGGTGTAGGGTTTTCACATGGACTTATTTGCTTAGATATACAGCAGGGACACTTTTCAAGTCTAGCTTTGAAATAGAAACTTTATAATATCTCCTGGGAGCTCTGATTGCAAACATTCGTTTATTTGGCTCCTTTCTAAAAGCCCAATAGAAAAGGAATAAAAAATTGCTTTTTGGCCACACTGCAATTTTTTAAACCTAAACTAAGTCATCTGGAAAATATAATAATAATTATGCTGATTCTGCTTCATTGTGTGTGTGTGTGTGCGAACTATACTTTCAATTCTTAAGTCATCCATAAAGTCATTGCAGTTTAGTAGAGTGATAAAAAAAAAAGTCTTCATGAAGTTTCCATTAGGGTTGGACAATAAAGAGAGGAGAAAGGGGAAATTTGTGATATTTTCAAAAACAGCTTTGTTTAGGGGTTTTATTAGTTTATTTCCAAGATAGGAAAATAAAAATGTCAGAATTTTGGAACCTGAAATATTTCTACTGGCTCTATAGCTTGTGCCAAAAAAAAAAAAAGGGGGGGGGGGGACTTTACAAAATGTTTCAAATTTCAAGATTAGAAAAATTTCAATCAATTCTAGTTTCCACATCATGTTTCTAACACAGACAGGGCCCGATTCTCCTCTCACTTGCTCTGAGGTGTGCTCATTGACTTCATCGGCAAAACCGAGAGCAGGATCTGGTCCAGAAACTCTAGCACATGCAGTATGCTTCTGTTCATCTGTAGAAATAACATACCTATTTTGAATTGTATAACTTGGTTTTGTTGGTTCTCAGAAAAGAAATAGATATTGGGGCCTGAGGCTGCCATAGTTTTCCAGTCAAAAGTCCTGTTGTTGTCAATGGGAATTGTGTGTAGATGAAATGTATGACGTTTATGGCTCTACATGTGAATAGACACTATGATAGCATCATTATAACTAGTATCCCAGTATTTTCTAGTGAATTCCTTGTAGAGGATCTTTGAAAGAAACATATTTTGGCTGCATGGAACTGGATAGGAT